TTAAACCAGCTCTGTGATCTCCGTCTCCAGGTCGACTAACACCGGCCCATGCTGGTCGGTATAACGGAGACCTGGGCTCACTCGCGGATATCCAACGCCGAACTTGAAATTCTCGAGCTGGAAATCCTGCCACAGGATAGAACAGACGGCATAGGTGGAGGTTCTGCGCTTAACATCAGCAGAAAACTAAGGTCCCTTCGAGGATCATTGATCCTGTACCAGAAAGAGTAGCAGAGAGCGCCTGGGCAGCCATAAAACTGGACGACAAAAGACAATGCCTAGTAGGTGTACTTTATAGGCCACCGAATTGCTCAGTCAATGAACTTTGCCATTATCGATGCACTAAAGCACGCCATGAGGTTGAACTATCACCACGTTCTGATAATGGGGGATTTCAATCAACCGGGGATCTGCTTTAGTACGTTGACCTGCCAAGCGGGACCTGGGTCCGTAACCTCAGTCTTCTTTGACACGGTGATAGACCTAGGGTGGCACGAGCACGTCCGTTAAGCAACCCAGTGGCGAGGGAACTCGAGACCCTCAGCGCTAGATTGGGTTCTTACCAACGAACCTCATACGGTCGACCAACTAGAGATTCCTACACCACTGGGACTCGGTGACCATGGTATCATACGATTCAGATTCGTACACACCACGGAACTGATACGGTCGATAGGGTTCACCCGCTGGAACCTACGTAAGGCCGACATTCCTGGCATACGTGCCTTCCTGGAGTCCGCCCCATGACCCCTTAACCTGTCTTGCATCGACAATCATTGGAGTGAAATGAGAGGGATCCTCAACGAGGCCATGCGCAGGTTTGTCTACGGTGCAACTGGATGTAGCCATGCTGGATTTTTCCAAGGCCTTCCATAGAGTTCGTCACTCTCTGCTGATAGAGGAGCTGGCCAACCTGGGATTCCCCGAAACCATGATAGCTTGGGTCTCTGACTATCTGTGCGATCGAATCTTTCGGGTTCGAGTAAACGGCGTCCTCTCAGATAGGTTTGGAGCACCCGGTGGGGTACCCCAGGGCTATATCTTAGGCCCCAGACTGTTCACATTATTTGTGAACGATCTCCCCGTAGGCATACGGTCTGACCTACTGATGTATGCAGACAACATTAAGATCTGCCGGGAGATTAAAAGTCGGCTAGAGAAGTGCAACCTGCAAAAGGACCTTGATAGGCTTTTTACCTGGTCGGTCGCAAACGGGTTGCCGTTCAACCGTGACAAGTGTAAGGCTATTCATATTAAAGGGCATTGTGCAAACGACTACTTGCTGAGAGGTAGAACATTGCAGAGGGTCAGGCACGAAAGGGACCTGGACACAGTCATTACCGATGATCAGTCCCAGAAAACTAACTGCAACACACTGGCCCGGAGGGCAATGTTCAAACTCAACCAACTAAGCCAACTCCTGTGGAAATTCACACCAGAGTCTTTACACAAGAGTTTTGCTATGCTCATTGGGCCATACCTGGAGATCAACATCCATGCGTGCCCTGCGTTACTTGGGAGGGATGTCGACGCCATTGAGCGGGCACAGCGGAAAGCCACGAAACGAGTTCAGGGTCTGTCACGCACACCCTACCCGGATAGACTCCGTTCGCTCAACTTGTACAGCATGGAGTATACGAGGGTAAGGGGCGACCTGATTCTCCTGAGGGACGCACTCAACGTTCAGGGGCACCTTTGCAGGCATCTGTTTACGATGGTCTCTCCGTCTGCGCGGCCACTCCATGAAACTGGAGAGGCAGCGTCTCAGACTGAGAGCCCGGTGTAACTCCCGAATAGATCAACGAGCGACGCGTAGCCGAATTTGGATCCCAAAACGTCAACAAAACGAACGATCCGGCAAATTTCTACGGTACTGCATTATTAAACGATCGAATAAGCAAATAAAACTGTGCAAACTTCAAAATGATCTCGAAACAACTTGAAAACAAGAGCCAAGTGTAACTGTGAGCGTAATTCAACAAATCTGAATGGAAGAAAATGAGCCTGGGTAAGAATAGCCCGCTCACCGTCGCGCTGCACATGAACGAGCCTAATGTGAGCGCTCAAGTCGCGATTAAAACAAGTAGGATAAAATTTGAAGCAGATAAACAAACAAAGTCAAATGGTAGGATTGATGTGTAAATATACACGGGGAGTGGAACGTCAAATGTCTATATGTATGTGAGGCGGATGAGGTTTGGTGAATGGAACGTAAAATTCACGAAATGTGGAACCGAGATGGAATGACTGGTCTTTCCAGGAAGGATTTTCACAGATCGATCAATACACCCGAGAACACTGTTTCTCGGTACGTGTATGTCGCCCTTGGAACTCACTGCCAACGATAGTAGTTCAGGCTTAAAGCAAACAATCTTTCAAAAAGGTACTTGACGAACACAGCCGAACAGTACCCTGGCGCTCCGTTTGACATACCGTTACTGGCAATCGGAGCGAACCCGATCTGGGGCATCTGAGCACTGGCCTTTGATTGTCATACATTTAATAATAATAATAATAATGTATATTTCACGAAATCCGTGAAGCATGCACAAGGCATGATCATATGTTCAGTATAATCATATGTACAACGACAGGACAGGTAAATGGATAAACTACTTGGGAGACATACATTGAGGTGATTTGGATGTGTGAGTCCCCGAATATTTACCTTTACTCTGTCCTCGCTGATGCCCGAGCTGTATCCTGCGAAGAAGGTCGGCGAACAGACGGTTGATCACTCGGTATGTATCAGGAAGGTANCTCACCCAGGTGTTTTACCACCCATCCACCACTAGACACAACCCCATCCAAGCAAGGCAGAGGGATTTTTATCCCTCATGGCCCAGAATAAAATATATATACCTATAACGATAACAAACTACTGTTATCCAGGTCTATACGATGGCGCCTACCCTGGAGCTGCGCGTTACAGTTTCAGGACATTAGCGATCAATGAAGATTGGATGCTGACGTCAATCGCACGTGCACAGCTTCTGAATACACGTCATTGGCGGATGGTGCCAACCAATCCATGACAATGCAGACAGAAGCAAGATTATGCAAGCAGTACTGCAATCCAATTGGTGGAAGCCCAGG